GAACTGATAACCAATGTCTTTGAGTAGACTTGTCTTAAAAACTTTCTGCTGTTTTCTTCAGTCATTTCTCGGGTAATAATGTTATTATTTTTGGCATTTGAGCGACGGATTAGTATCTCAATAAATGATTCCTCCAAAAGATTATTCTCCAATTCAAATACAATATAGCGTTCAATGATATCTGAAAAAACAAAATCAATAACTTAACCAAAATGTGTACAATAAATGACAGAAAACCAAATACCCTGAGACTTGACATCAAATCTGTGGCCCAAATGCATACAGACTTGTATTTTCTCATTGGATTCTTCGGTTACTTCCATCAAAACGAGTGACAGAGCGGGCGACGGACAGTACATCACACGCCGGATGTCACCGAACGGAACCGTTATGTTAAACCTAAAGTTGGCGCTCGAAGTGTTTGGCTTAATGTCACAGAATTTGATGGACTTCGCGCTTAATTCAATCGCTGGACAACTTGTCATATAAGTGCCAAATAGTATATACTTTGTCGAAGACTTAACACATATAGTGTCCGGAATATGATTTCCATTCAAATCCTGCATCGCTTCAGAGTTATGCTGATTTGTGCCATTTGTGTGACCACTGATGGCATGAATACCATCGACACTGTCATCACTTAAAGAAGTGGATGAAGTACTGTTCATATCATGAGACACACAATGATCGCAAACTGGGACCAAATGACTGGCGTTTCGTAGACAAAAAGCGCACTCAACACCAATCGATGTCTTCTTCGGTGATATCGGAGCCATATTTCACTTAACAATGCATTTAAATAAGTTATAATCAAAATTCAATTCTTACATCACTTATTGAATGAATAAAAATATTAATTTTAATGAATACAAACCTATGATGAATGCAGACACAGAATAAGGCAAATATGTTGAATTACAAGATGATTATCATCATATAATTAAGTGGACAATGAAAATAAAACGGACCAAATATTGCAATACATGCATACAATACTGTCCCACCTATAATACACGCCCCATATAGTGAGCAATAGTATTATCCAAATACATGATTTGATGTCAAAACTTGTTTATTTGTTTAAAGTTTATCCAATACTAAGGCATTGAATTNGCAATAGTATTATCCAAATACATGATTTGATGTCAAAACTTGTTTATTTGTTTAAAGTTTATCCAATACTAAGGCATTGAATTTTATATAAATTACAAAAGACATCAATTAATATACAAATATTTATAAATAATAGTTTTAATAATAAATAAATTTATTTGACGATAAATAAGCAATAGTATTATATAGTAATAATTAAACCATAATTGCCATGGTTAATTAACTCCGGTTAACTTAAGCGTCTAATAAACATTACAGTTAAAACAAGAATAATTTTGGTATTTTTTCGGACTATTCATTGATATCACAGTCGAATCAATGCTCTGATAATAAAAATTGTAATAAAATTCTTTTAGGGCTGTGTTTATTGGTTTTGAGTCAAATCCTTTGACAAAACAAACATAAATGGCATTAATTAACATATTTTTGTAATAAATCTATATTAACATCACTGCTATGACCGATGGGTTCTCACAATTGGTCCTAAAATTTATTTCTATTTATATTATTTATAATTTTGTATATCACTTAAAATAGAGATCTGTGCTCTACTTTTAGACGCTTTCGTTAAACAACACAATATTTATATTAATATTTTTGAAAAATAAATGCACAACAAATTAAATTATATAATAATAATAATAATAATAATAATACAAAATCCTGTTTTACAAAAGTATTTAAATATTAAATAAATGAGAATCAGACTTCTAATCATTAATTAAATATATGGATATTATAAATCTAAATAAATATCAGTTTTAGTCTTATATTATACAAAGTAATAATAAGTCAAAAATAATTTTAAATAAAGATAATGTTTGGTTCGAAGCCATTACTAGTAATAGTGTGGCATATATTGATATAATGAGCAGTTATTGGGCGGCATTTGGTGTAGAATGAGCTTCATTTTCATATCGATAATCTTCTTGCGCCAGACGTCCAGAATATTCTCGTGTTCGCGATTCTCGACAGTCAGCCGACGCTTCTCCTCTTCGAGTGCCGCGATTTTGTCCAACTTTTTCTGCCGACACTTCTTCGCCGCCTCGCGATTGCGGAGCCGGCGTTCCAGTTGTCTCTCGGCGTACGAAAGGGCCGGTCTGTGACTCTTGGCCCGTCCCCCACGGGTCGCCGCCGAAAACACATACTCAAGGCTACGCTTTTCGCACGCGGCGATCGCCCGCTCCACGTATGAGTTGTCGTCCGCTTTTATTCCCTGAGCGCCAATTCGCATCAGTGAGCCATAGGTTCGGCCAATCGGTTCCACCGGCGACTTGGCGTGTAATGGCTGTCGATTGTCGTCCAGAGCTGACCCGTCGTTATTATAACCATAGGTTTGGAGTTTCGTCTGTACGAGCGGTGTGTTATTGCTTACCGGAGGGTATGTTTGAGGATTTGACGGGTGTATTGGCACAGGCTTTGGGGCTATAGTAGGCATTCGTTTGGGCGGTTCGGTAGGTATCGACGGCTTCTTATAGACTACCGTTTTTGGTTGCGGTGTTGGAGTGGCCATCGATGGCGGATATGTTGTCATCGCCGGCTGTTGTGATGGCTGACCGTAATTGTGGTCAAATGTGTTGTCTTCGGCGCATGAGTTCGGTTCGAACATAAACCGTGAAATAATGTCGAAGTAATCGTCGTCTATCATGAAGTCCATCGTCTGGTCGCTGTTGGCTGGAGTTGTGGTCACACGCGGGGCCTCTTCATGAAAGTCATTGAATGGCACAACCGGTTCATTGGCCGGGACTATAGGGTAAGTGTGGACCCAATTTGGCTGCAATGTGTCGCCGCATGGGTTGTGGTCGACAGCGGTGGACGTCTGCGGAGCGGATAAATAATCGATGTCTCGCATCACTTTGCGAAACCACGGCTTATCTTCTTCGCATACAGTGGCCATAAACGGCGCTTCAGTGCCATCGCGTGTCCGCTCGTGCGATGGCAGCCGTTGTGGTGTCGCTGGCGTTGAACTCATGGTATGAAGGGATCAATTGGTGTCACTATAAGACTATAAAACACTTACAATAAGACACACGACTTCAGTACTGGCAGTGAATGTGTGTTCACTCAATACACTCTCTCCTCAAAGCAGTCAAAGCAATTGAGACTCCATTTCATATGAATAACACGTTATATATGATTGAATGCGCGAACGATTGCAGTATTACTACACTATAGTTATGCCTAAAAGTGATAACACATTCACTGTTAACGTTATATATATAGACCACTACTTATAGACCCTAACAAATACCCCAACAATAAAAGTGCACAAAACAAATGGCGTTTTCAGAGTTAATACAGTTATAATAACTAATTGAATAGACTAAACATGGTCATTGTTTATGTATGATACCTAACTAACAGTTAATTAATGATGATGTGAATATTGAAATGTATCCAAATCTACACTAATATTAGTTTAAGTGGTGATTGTATTGCGGTTTAAATGGAAAATTAATAAATTGCAATCATGTAAAACTTACAACTAGTTTGCACTGTAATAGCGCTGTAACGCTATAACTATACGGACTGTTTGCGCCTCTAGTACTGCATAATGTAACTATTAATATAACTGTACAGTACAACTGTACTATAATATATGGTCAATTTAATGCAAAAAATGACCTTCATATCAATCCTCCAACCAATCACTCACTTCTATAAGGTTTGTATGTTTGATGCGGTTATTAATTTTAGGCCCACTTTTAATGTGTCCATTGGTTTCATATTGTCATACATTTCACATGAAATGCACTAAAAGTTAGAACAAATAGAGCCCACACTTCACACCAGATGTCACTCGAGATCTTATTAGTGCTGCA